CGCTGCTATTATCTTCTAAAGGCTGTACACAGTTGAACCACTCCCCACAATTCACAGACTCTGAACCCTCCAAAGATTTATAGTTCATCAAGAGACTAAGCAAATAATATGACTTTTTTCCTTTTTTTATTAAAACAGTTTCCACAGACCCGGAGTTGTGAAATGCTGAAGCACTACAGCAGGGGCACTCAAACTTTTTAAACAGAGGGCCAGGCCACAGTCCCTCAAACTGTTGGAGGGCCGGATTATAATTTGGAAAAAAAAAATGAATGAATTCCTATGCACACTGCACATATCTTATTTGTAGGCCTGGGCGGTTTCGTTCATTAATTTTGTAATTCGTTAAATATTCGTTATTTTTAACAATTACAAAATGATTACAAAACTTATTTTCAAACCCGGAAGTGTTTTTAAATATCGAAACGGCATCCTCCATCTTTTTTACGAGCTTCCGCCCATTTCGGAAATGACGTTTTAGGGATGGAGGATGCTGGGTGCGCCGGGAGCCAATCCGGCGCTCCCAAGCACCGTGGCTCATTGTGATTGGGCGGGCTGCCCTTTAAAAGTGGCTCCGCGTGGCCGCATTGCTCATTGCGAAGGCGAGGAGATGGGAGGTGCGGGAGGGAGGCTTGGCTTGCTTGCATTCATTCATTGCTTGCATTCATTCATTCATTCATTCATTCACATTCTGTTGGGAGAGCGAGGGCAGTTTAAGGACCTGGGCTGGGAGCAGCGGGGAGGCTTTGCCCTGTTTTCGCCCCACAACAGGGCAGGGCAAGCATTTTGTTAATTTTCCATTTTTAAATATTTCTGATAAATATTTCTTTTATTCTTAAAAAATTCAAAAAATATTCTAAAAAAAGAAAAAAAACTTGTGTGCCTGTGTGTGTGTTTGTCCCTGTCCTGTGGCTGTGTTCGCTCCACAACAGTCGTTTTGCGCATGCGCAAATCGCGTCCGCCATTTTAACGAATCGATTCGTTATTACTTAACGAATCGACCCCGCATCAATAACGAAGTTTCGGAAGTGATTTGCGCATGCGCGGGGGGTCCGCCATCTTAACGAATCGATTCGTTAATAATAACGAAATTTCGTAAATACCGAACTTTTTTAAAGGAAAATTTTGTAATTCTTTTAAATAACAAAACGCAAGACCCCCCCAAAAACGAATCGATTTTAGAAACAAATTTTTGCGTTGTTACCCAGGCCTACTTATTTGTAGTGCAAAACACTTTAAAACAATACAATATTTAAATGAAGAACAATTGTATCAAATATAAACTTATTAGTATTTCAATGAGAAGTGTGGGCCTGCTTTTGGCTGATGAGATAGGATTGTTGTTGTTGTTGTTGTGTGCTTTCAAGTCATTTCAGACTTAGATTGACCCTGAGTGAGGGCCAGGTAAATGACTTTGGAGGGCTGTATCTGGCCCCCAGGCCTTAGTTTGAGGACCCCTGCTATAGACCATATACACGCATTCCATATACACTTTCATCTAAAAGATTCCACCAAATCATATTTATCTATATAGATCATATACACACATACCATTTACACTTTCATTTAACAGATACACTTCCATAGCATTCATTTGTGTGTGTGAATATATGTGTATGTGTATCTACAGTGTTGATGCCTCCCATAGAAACTGATATGGGGAATAATGTTTTAAATAGCAAAACTCATCTGCATCATCATCATCATCACCAGTATAATTTGTATCCTAAAAATTCTTGACAACCATTTAAGATAGAAAGATGTTGTGAAACAATAACTCCCAAGTGGTGTCAAACTGCATCCATTATACAGTCTAGGCCAGACATGAGCAAACTTCAGCCCTCCAGGTGTTTTGGGCTTCAACTCCAAGAAATCCCAGACAGGTTAAGCACTGTTGGAATTTATGGATGTTGGAAGTCCAAAACACCTGAAGGACTAAGGCTTGCCCACGTCTGGTCTAGATGCATCTTCATTGCTTTGAAATTGTGAGGGTGCAGTTTGGTGAGGCACCTGCACTTTCTGACAGAAGGCCAGAAACTCTAGAATTAGTGCAGTTTGACACCACTTGAACTGCCATAGCTGGAAGTTGCAGTTTGACAAGATCTTTAGCCTTCTCTGCCTATGAGTGCTGGTGCCTCACCAAACTATAACTCCTGGGATTCCATAGCATTGAGCCATAGCAGTTAAAGTGGTGTCAAGCTGCATTAATTCTACAGTGTAGCTGCACCCCCACAAATTCAGGAAATAGATGATCTCCCTCCCCCCACCCAAATTGACACAGTGAACCTTTTTGTGGCTACTAGGGTTCAAGGAGCCCCATGCATATCAAAATCAGCAAGTGCTCAAGCCCCATTGAATACAATGGTGTAGTAAAAGTAGTGTTAGTTATATAATATGAACAATTGAGCTATCCTTGTGATATTTTAGATAGATAGATAGATAGATAGATAGATAGATAGATAGATAGTTATCTGGCTTGGGGAATAACTAGAAGGATCCTGGCCATCACCTCCTTTCCCAAGGGATTGTGTAAACTGGGGGCACAGAGAGATGGCTGCCTTTAAAAAAATATTTGGATACATGCATTTGATATAGTTTATACAATTTATACTTTTAAGAACACACTATATAAAAGATACAATTTATACAGAAATCATTACATTGATACATTTTATTGAAGGGTTAGATATTATAGTTTTTAGGGTACAGCTGCTGCTAGGTTTGTTCCAGACCCTCTAGTGCAGGGATCCACAAACTTTTTAAACAGAGGGCCAGGTCACAGTCCCTTAAACTGTTGGAGGGCCAGATTATAATTTGAAAAAAGCATGAATGAATTCCTATGCACACTGCATATATCTTATTTGTAGTGGAAAAGACACTTAAAAACAATACAATAATTAAAATGAAGTACAATTTTAACAAGTGTAAACTTATTAGTATTTCAATGGGAAGTGTGGGCCTGCTTTTGGCTGATGAGATATGATTGTTGTTGTTATTGTGTGTTTTCAAGTCATTTCAGACCCTGAGCGAGAGCCAGGTAAATGACCTTGGAGGGCCATATCCAGCCCCCGGGCCATAGTTTGAGGACCCTTGCTGTAGTAGATGGACAGTTCAGGTCCAGACATTCCCTCCAAGTGCGGAGGAGAGAGCAGGTGTGCTCAACCCATGGCAGCATGGTGTGCATGTGGGGGTAAGGGAGAATGTGTGAGGCAAGAGGGAGGGTTGCACGAGCGAACCCCTTCAAGGCATGGGGGTTCTGTGTGGGAAGTTTGGCAGAAGTCTTTCGTTGGCGAGGTTCAGAATGCTCTGATTGTAGGTGAACTATAAATCCCAGCAATTACAACTCCCAAATGTCAATGTTTATTTTCCCCAAACTCCACCAGTGTTCATATTTGGACATATTGAGTATTTGTGCCAAGTTTGGTCCAGATCTCTCGTTGTTTGAGTCCTCAGTGCTCTCTGGATGTAGGTGAACAACAACTCCAAAAGTCCCACCAAACCCTTCCAGTATTTTCTGTTGGTCATGGGAGTTCTGTGTGCCAAGTTTGGTTCAATTTAATTGTTGGTGGAATTCAGAATGCTTTTTGATTGTATGTGAACTATAAATCCCAGCAACTACAACTCCCAAATAACAAATCAATCCCCCCCCCTCAACTCCACCAGTATTCAAATTTGGGCGTATCGAGTATTTGTGCCACATTTGATCCAGGGAATGAAAATACATCCTGCATATCAGATATTTACATTACGATTCATAATAGTAGCAAAATTACAGTTATGAAGTGGCAACAAAGTAATTACATGGTTGGGGGGTCAACACAGCATGAGAAACTATATTAAGTGGTCACAGAATTAGGAAGGTTGAGAAACACTGATATAGAGAGAATATGGAGTATATTTAAGCTATGGAAGTGCATAAGTGTATAAGTTGCAAATGCGATTGGTGGAGATGAGACACAGGGCGTTCTCAACAGTGGCTCCCCGTCCATGGCACTTCCTCCCCAAAGACATCAGATTGGCCACCCTCCTCCTGTCCTTTAGAAGGAAACTCAAGATTTGGCTGTGGGACCTTGCGTTTGACTATTGAATAGCGGCTTGTATGAAGAAGACATAAGCAATTTCGAAGTGACAATGAATTGACCCGGACCCATATTTTAATTGGTGTATGTTAACAACTGTTTATTTAATGTTTTGTTTTAATGCATTTGTTGATTGTTCTCATCATTATGATGGCACCGAATGGTGTTTGCTGTGAGGCCACCCTGAGTCCTCCCTTGGGGGTGAGACGGGTGGGGTACAAGTATATGAAATAAATAAACAAACAAACAAATAAATAAGTATATATAGATATATATGAGAGTGATATGGAAATGTATTTGATGTGTATGCATGTGTGTTTGTATCTATGTATGTGGAGCTCCCGGTGGTGCAGTGGTTAAATTGCTGAGCTGCTGAACTTTTTGATTGAAAGGTCGTAGGTTCAAATCCGGGGAGAGGGGTGAGCTCCTGCTGTCAGCCCCAGCTTCTGCTGACCTAGCAGTTTGAAAACATGGAAATATGAGTAGATCAATAGGTACTGTCCAGCGGGAAGGTAACGGTTCTCCATCCAGTCATGCCGGCCACATGACCTTGGAGGTGTCTATGGACAACACCGGCTCTTTGGCTTAGAAATGGAGATGAGCACCACACCCCAGAGTTGAACACGACTGGACTTAATGTCAGGAGAAAACCTTACCTATATGCATATGTATATATGTATATGTATGTATATATATAGAGAGAGAGGGGGGGAGGGAGGTGTATATGGAATTTGCACTTTGGTGAAGGAGAGATGTTGAAAGTCCTTGTTAAAGTATAACTCCTATTATAGCATTGAGTCATGGCAAGTAAATAGGATTCAAGACAGAATCACCCTTGCTGATCCAATGAGGGCAGCGCGTTGGTGGTTTTTCCAGATGGCATCAGAGAAACGAAACTTAGGCTTGACTCCTGGAAACGAAAGTTAAACATCAGGAACAGCTGGCTGCCTCTGCTTTGCTGAAAGCCAGTGCTGGCGTTGCCTCTTCTGCTGGGCACATCACGCTTCCCGGCTGGAGAGAAGAAGCGGTGCATGGTGGTGATCCTCCGTGGAAAGTAATGTTGCTGTTTTGGTAGGGACGGGCCAGAGGCTTGGCTCAGCGATGGGGAGGGGGACAGAGCTGAGAGCCCTTGCTTTGCCTTGCCTGTTGTTTCTATTGTTTTTGTTCTTTCCAGCCTCTAATGATCCATCTCTGGAGACTGGCCATTGATTGCAAGAGATTTCTCTTCTTCAGACGCAGCAATCTTTTTAGATCTTCTTTCAAGCCCGGATCCTGGGTAGAATAAAAGCAGTTTGACTCCCTTTGAACTGCCTGGGTGATGTAGTTTGGTGAGGCAGCAGCACTCTTGGGACCTTGTAAAACTACAGCTCTCGGGATCCCATCGTCTTGAACCCTGCCAGTTCAAGTGGAGGCAAAAGGCATTCATTTTACAGTGTAGATGGACCCCCTGATTCAGATCATTTGCTATATAAACTTGCACAAGATTAAATTTCTGTTGTGCGGGTGATAAATGATAGGTATGGTTAGAGGTGCATCTACATTCTAGAATTAGCTAGTCATGGGTTGGATCCACATTGCTAAATTATATGGTCTAAACCAGCATTTCTCAACCTGGGATACGGGATCTCTGGGGGGTTGTGACACGATGTCAGAGGAGTTGCCAGAGACCATCAGAAAACACAGTAATTTCTGTGGGACATGAGGGTTCTGTGTGGGAAGTTTGGCCCAATTCTGTTACTGGTGGGGTTCAGAATGCTTTTAGATTGTATGTGAATGACAACTCCAAAACACAAGGTTAATGCCCACCAAGTCCTCCCAGTATTTTCTGTTGGTTGTGGGAGTTCTGTGTGCCAAGTTTGGTTCAATTCAATTGTTGGTGGAGTTCAGAATGCTGTTTGATTGTACACGAACTATAAATCCCAGAAATTACAACCACCAAATGACAAAATCAACCCCCACCCCACCCCACCAGCATTAAAATTCGGGCAAATTGGGTGTTTGTGCCAAATTTGATCCAGATCCATCATTGTTTGAGTCCACAGTGCTCTCTGGATGTAGGTGAATTACCACTCAAACCTCAAGGTCAATGCCCACAAAACCCTTCCAATATTTTCTGTTGGTCATGAGAGTTCTGTGTGCTAAGTTTGGTTCAATTCCATCATTGGTGGAGTTCAGAATGCTCTTTGGTTGTAGGTGAACTATAAATCCCATCAACTACAACTCCCCAATGACAAAATCAACCCCACCAGTATTCCAATTTGGGTGTATTGGGTATTTGTGCCAAATTTGGTCCAGTGAATGAAAATACATTCTGCATATCAGATATTTACATTACGATTCATAACAGTAGCAAAATTATAGTTTTGAAGTAGTAACGAAAATAATTTATGGATGGGGGTCACCACAACATGAGGAACTGTATGAAGGTGTCGCGGCATTAAAAAGGTTGAGAACCACTGGTCTAAACTATCTTCTGTCAAGGGCTGGATCAACACTGCATTTGAACTGCATTATATGGTCAGTGTGTAGACCCATATAATGAGGTCTGAACTTCATTATATGGATCTTTATGAACCATATAATTATATGGTCCAAACTTTAAAGTCTATGGTCGAAACTTTAAAGTATATTATTTTGGCAAAGGCTGGATCAACGCCGCCATAAAATGTAGTTTGAACTTCATTATATGGATCTACACTAACCATATACTGCAGGTCAAACTGCATGATTACATTGGGATTGTACCTATTTATTAACAAGAAGAACTGCACTTTATCTTCTGTTTTAGAAGGAAAAAAGCAGTATATAAATTTAGTAAATAAATAGTAGTTTATTAAATGCTCTTAGACCATAGGTCTTTCACATATAGGACAAACAAATAGATACATAAAAACCAGATTATAAAATACAACATGAAATACACGTAGATGCATACTGGTGGGGGCTTGCAACGTGGCAGGGATTTGAAATGTGGCAGAGATTGCTGACAAATGAAACTGGAGCAAAGTCCAGGACGGAGACATTTCTTCTGATGGGACAGCCTTCTCCTCATGCTAAAGTAGACATCCGTAAATTTTAAATTGGTGTCAATTTTTCCATGCTTTGTTAGGGCAGATACATTTTTGCAAACATGGAGGCACTATGTACAGTTATTTGTAAAAGTGTCTCTGATCCAGCAAAGCAAGGGAAAAAAATTACCCATGGAGTCACCTTAGACGAGCCATACACTCTCAGCTACAGAAAACCCTGTGATAGGTTCATTTTAGAGTTGCCTTAAATGAGAAATGACTTGAAAGTACAGAATAAATGTGTAATTGTGACATGATCCCCTGAGCCTCAAGTCTGATATATTTGGTTTTTGATATATATGGTTTATCCACACTCTTGTGTCAGGAGTGACTTGAGAAACTGCTAGTTGCTTCTGATATGAGAAAATTGACCATCTGCAAGGATGTTGCCCAGGGGACGCCTGGATGTTTTGATGTTTTTTCATCCTTATGGGAGGCTTCTCTCATGTTCCCGCATGGGCAGCTGGAGCTGGTAGAGGGAGCTCATCCGTGCTCTCCCCAGATGCGAACCTGTGACTGTCAGTCTTCAGTCCTGCCAGCACAAGGGTTTAATGGTTTAACCCATTGTGCCACCGGATTATCTACACTCTCGAAGCCCCCCGTGGTGCAATGGGTTAAACCCTTGTGCTGGCAGGAATTAAGACTGGCAGGTCCGAGGTTCGAATCTGAAGAGAACATGGATGAACTCCCTCTTACAGTTCCCACCATTGTTACAGGGCTTGTTTCTCCTGGAAATTTTCTGCATTGTCATGTTGATTGAAATTAGTTTTTCAATTGTTGTTCTGCTACCCCCAAAGAGACAGGAAGCATTGATCTGGGAAGATAGACACCACTTTGGGGGTTTAGACTTTCCCTTCCAATCCTGCTACTCCCGAGGAGACAGGAGGCATTGATCTCCCAATCACATAAGCTACTTGTAGCGCAATTTCCAAAGCCAAAATTGCTATGAAGTCGAAATGAGTCCCCGGTGACGCAGTGGGTTAAACTGCTGAGCTGCTGAACTTGCTGATCTAAAGGTTGCAGGTTCGAGTCTGGGGAGTGGCATGAGCTCCTGCTGTTACCCCAGCTTCTGCCAACCTATCCGTTCGAAAACAATGTGAGTAGATCAAAAGGTACCGCCGGAACAGTACCTATTGCAGTCATGCCGGCCACATGACCTTGCAGACAACGCCGGCTCTTCAGCTTGGAAATGGAGATGAGCACCAACCCCCAGAGTTGGACATTACTGGACTTAATGTCAAGGGGAAACCTTTGCCTTTACTAGAAATGACAGGAAAAACTGTGGTGATATTTTGAAATGTTGATATTTCTAATTATTACATTAATTTTCAAAAATTACTACTTCAGGCTTGCAAAGCAGGATTTTGGGAGAGAAATGTCAATCTGACAGATCCCATCCCATATGTTTTTCACTGTTTCTCCAATTGTATAGCAATTGTTGAGCTCAGAAGACGATTTCTGTTCATCTTCTTTCTCTGTTTCCAGACACATCAGAAACAATTTATTAACAAGACTTAATGGACACAGGGAGGAAGTTCCTGCATCATGTGATGGGCTCCATTGTACATTGTTATATTATACATTATACATTGTTAAATTGCATTTAGAAATGGGGGCGCGCGCGCATGGGATAACACCCCCATGGGCACATCCAGACAGGACATTTATCCCAGGAGTTCCCGCAGCAATGAGGAGGGTGGCCAGATGCCGTTCTCTGTAAACCCAGAAGTAATTGCAACAAAAGGCAAAAAATGCGAGATTTCCAGGTGCAGGGATATTGTGGTTTTTAGCTGAATATCTGGATCTTCGCATGTCTGTATGTCCCTGCAACCAGAAATCACGGGATTTTTATCTAGGTTTGTTCCCAGGTTTTAGATGCGTGTTCCTGATTGGTTCCTGATTCCTAAAATGAAGGCGACATTTGAGTAGAAGGCAAAACTTTGTGTGCCAGAAATTTCATGAAACACGTTGAGGGCACATTTTCTCTGGCCTGCATATAAATTGAACTTTTGCAGATATGCAGATATGCAAAGTTCTGTTCCTGGCTTGTGTCTGTTCCTGTTTGTGTTCTGCTGACTTAGACAGTAGTGGTCATACCCCATGAGGTTTGTTTGTGTGGGAGATAGTTCATGAAATGTCTGGAAAGCAAAAGAACAGAACTTTTTTGGTTACTGTGTTCCCTCACTTATTGCGGGGGTTCCATTCCGGGACCTCCCGCAATAAGTGAAAATCCATGAAGTAGAGACACTATATATTTTAAAAAATATTTTTATACACTGTTGTTTTAAAATCTGAAATGCCTTGCCCGACTTACCGGGCAAGGGTCGTTGCAGCGGTGGGCACCCTCCCGCCAGACATGTTGCTTGCAGGGGGCTTCTTCTTCCCAGAAGCTCCCTTCACAGCAGGAAGTTTTACTGTGTCTGATGACCATGTGCAAAATTTGAGAAAAAAGCTTTTGTATACTACTATGAGGTTGAGTAGGTACAGACACATTTATTTGCATGTTTCTTTAAAGCAGTGGTTCCCAACCTTTTTTGTTTGACCAGGGACCATTTGACCAGGGACCACCTCGCCAACATTAGTACCAAAAGGGTTATGAATCAGTTTTTGGTCAACTTTAGATTCTGTTTGGTTATTTGGGGTGTTGATTCAGAAAATTGCATTGGATAGACTACATCAGCTCCAGTTTCTGATACAGAACATATGCCATCCAGTAGACACCATCTGTTCACCCACAGAAAACCATATTTAACAATCCTCGGCACTATAACAGGGTTTCGAGAGACCAGCAGCTCTCGTTGCAACAGTGTAGTAATGGTGAGGCCGCAGACCATATTTTAATTCTTGTGGACCACTGGTGGTCCATGGACCACAGGTTGGGAACTACTGCTTTAAAGCAATACTAATTAGGAAACAAACCTCAGGGAATATTATGTGTTTCTGTTTTTTTTCAGTGCAGTATCTATTTAACAACTATGTAAATGTACAACAAATGAAAATAATAGAATGATACCTTTGTATTTCAAAGTGTATGGAAGAATAATGGTCCAAATTTAAATGAGCACAATATAAAAGCACAAATAGTCATGGCTTCTGAACCAATCCTAAAACAAGGAGAAACCTCATCAAAATCCATCGTGCTAAAAAAGAAGAAAAAGGAAGTATCTGCAAGAAAAGATGAAAATGAACCATCCTCACCTGATTTTAAAACAACAGGTAAATAACCTCTTTGATCATATAATGTGATGCTTTCTACAGCTCTATTGTCAAGCTGGATAGCTTTATGTTAAGTGGCACGGTTCGATGCTATGGAATATTGCGGCTTGTGGTTTGATTGGGCACTAGCACGCTTAAGCTGGCAGGGAGTTGGACTGGATGGCCCATGAGGTCTCTTCCAACTCTTTGATTCTATGATTCTATGATTCTAAGGCTAAAGATCTCCTTCCATGATTCCATAGCATTAAGGCATGGCAATTAAAGTGGTGTCAGAATGCATCCTTTGTACTTGCCATACCTTCATTTCATTCTTTGCTTATTGACCCTTGACCTGGATGCACTTATATCATCTGCTTCAAAACACAGAAAAAGAGATTAAAATATTGTAAAATATCCGCACTAGTATGGGAACTTTCTGCATCCACTCCCCCACTTCCCATATACTTTGATCTTGATTTATTTATTTGTTTGTTTATGACGTCTATATCCCACCCTTCTCACCTCAAAAGGGGGAAACAGAGCGGTCTTACAAAAAGCAGAATTTGATGCCATGCACATACATACATACAATAAAAATAGTCATATACATTAAAAGCAAAAATCAGCAGCAATATTAAAACAATTATTAAATTCACATCATCCAGAGTCAAATCCAGGGCCATTCCATTAGTCATTGGTGATGGAACACAGATCATGTGAATAAAGACATATCTGCATATTCTTTTTCAGATCTACAAAGATGCATGGAAGAAATTACTGATTTTATTTGTAACAATGAAATACCAAAAGCTGAGTAAGTATGTCAGGCTAGCAGCCTTACTTTCATTTTTGACTGCATGCACTCTTACAACTTCCTATTGGTCTTCCTGTTTTACTTATGTCTTTTGAAGACATTGATTGATCCCCTGTAATATTGCAGTAGAGATAGCATTGTCTCACTAGGGACCTCAACACACTGATGAAGTCCCCCATGCTGATTCACCAGCCTTTGTGGCAAGTCAGAGGGACAGCGGGGCAATTGCAACACCCACTGGCCTGCACCTTGCCCGCCCGGCAGTGGATGCTTCCCCCCATCACTGTGGGGAAGCGTCACCACACGACCTATCTCCACAGTAGACCTGTAGTTTCAAATGGAACAGGTGAGGCTAGCGTATTGGCAATACAGAATCATATGATGCTGCAGCCTCAGTTGAGCCCCCCCAGAAGTAAGGTTACATTGTATGATGGACGGTGTGGGGCTTTGTCACTCAACTTGGGTGGCAGCGTTGTATTATGCTGATTTTTCACCATAACGAGATCCTAAAAATCACTGAATTAACAGCTCTATTGTCAAGCTGGATAGCTTTATGTCAAGGGTCTGAATATCTAGGGAAAGAGTGATCAATTATCTTAACTACCAAATATTTAGAAAACAGCCATGTAGCTTGGTAAGCATCTCTTGCTTTCAGTTATTTAGCTGGTTCACATTACTTGGCCAAAAACAGTTATAAAAAATCTTGTAAACAGTTATTGAAATTACTGAGGCCACAGAGCCAGCAGCAGTGAAAGGGAGGAAGAGTTAGGGTTCGTCTATAGAATTAATACAACTTTGCTATGGAACCACGAGAGTCATAGTTTTAGAAGGTCTGAATCCTTCTCTACCAAATGACAACTCTATGATTCCGCATTATTAATCTATGACAAAGTGATGTAAAACTGCATTAATTCTACAGCATAGATACACACTTAGAAACTGAAATGAATGAGGAAGACAGAGATGTGAGAGGGTCAGAGGGAAAGAAACTTTGAAGCTGCTGAGAATAGGAACCATTTTCTAATTAGTTTGAATATCTCCAGTGGTTATTTTGTTTTTATTTGTTTAATTGATTAATTTTGCTAAATTTCATTGTTGACATGCAATGTTTTTTGTCTAGACTTGTCAGCTTGCTGAATGATTATGTTGAGTCAGAGTTTTTTGTGATTGATGGGGATTCCTTGTTCATTTCTTGTGCAAATGGAACAACATTACAACCAGGACAAAACTTACACTTCTTTTACTTAGTTGAATGCTTTCTCCTGGATTTGACAAGCAAAGGGGCAAAATTTATCATTGTTTTCTTTAAGGTAAGAAATAATAATTATTTACTGTGTTCATTTTTTCTGTTCCTCCAATATGAAACTGAACTAATTATCACTTAACCTGAGATAAGATCATACCTTTAAATACTAGAACTAGCCAGGGGGTTCTGTGGTTTTATCTATGAAAAGGATTTAAATAATTTTAAATTTTTTAACTGTTTATTTTTATACTGTTAATATTTAATTCTGCTTTAATATTTGTATATTTTCAGGTTTTAAATTGTATTGCATTGGTTTTACCATAAACTGTTTTGAGTCTCTTTTTTAGAGAGAGAAAGCAGGGTATACATAAACTTAAACATAATAATAATAAATCAGAATGGATGTTTGTTTGAAGATGTAGATTTGAGATCTTTAAACTGCTTTGAGATGTTCATCAAAAATTCTTATAAGAAATATCTGTAAATTCTGTAGTACTCCATACTATAGGGCTGTGCGATCTATTAAAATGTTTCAAAAGTCATTACAAAATTAGGGGTTTTGGGAGGTTCATTTCTAAAGTGTTTCTTTAGTCGTTAGTGAAATTTTCATTACTATAATGAAAGTAATGAAATTTCGTTCCTTTTTTGTTATTGTAATTGTGTAAGTGATGAAACTTCAGGGGCTTCTGTCTCCCTCATTTTAACAGCTATTTGGGTGAAACTTGCTACAATGGTAGAACACATTTACCACTGTTAGCCCATCAAGTTTCAGAACATATAACTTTTAGGGAATTTTTGAAGTTTTTATAATCAACATTTTTTTAAAAAAAACTACAAGAGCGATCGCTTTGAATTTTCTATACAATGACACAAGATAATGGAATTATTCCCCTCAATTTTCAGAAATATTCATACATCTACTGATTTTAGGGATTTAAAAAAAAATTGGACAAAACTTTTTTTAAGCCACAACAGCTATCTCATTGAATGACTCTCATATTAACCAATAAAACTTCCATTTAGGGATTACTTCTCATCCCAGTACAGAGATTTACTTACTAGAAGTATCAGTCAGTCCTCCTCTTTGCAGATTCAACAACTTATTGGAACTCTGGCTGGCTCCTGCTATGGAGGGACAAATCCTCCCCTATTCTGATTGGGGATTTCTGATGCTGAGTAGAATTCTGGGAATAGTAGTTTAGGGCAGGGCCTTTTGAATTCTCCTCACCTTCTCAAACTACATTTCCCAGAATTCTGTGTTTTCTTAGTCTTTTTCCCAGCAAACTCTGCTTTCTCCTTCCTGCTTCCCTCTTGTAACGGCGAGAGGCCATTAATTTAAGGCAGCCTTTTTAGCTTCTCTTTGCTTCCTTGCACTGAAAATGAAACTGACTTTGGGAGGTTTCTGAGATTGTCAAAATTCAAACGAAAAAGCATTGGGTAAGTTTTGGTTAAGTTTTTGGCACTGGCCATGCCCTCGTGCTGGATATCATATTGTAAGTATGAATTTAACAAATTAGATACGAATTATGACAACTAATGAAAAACTGCACTCCCCTAGTACCTGCGTTGTTATCTTGCCTTATAAGCTTAGAGAGATTTAGAGAAGAGTTTCTTTCTCAAAGAACACAGCATAAGTATAGGATTCTCCCTTGTCCGTTAAGAATGGAAATCTGTCAGCTTCAACTTGAAGATATTTACTGTTCATTCCTTTGCTGTGTTATGCTTATCCTTTCCATCATGTTCTGGGTCTTACAGCTGATAGTGGATCTCTAGACACCACTGTATTTCCTTCTTTATAAGTAAGTGCTAGTTGCTGCTTGAAGTTGAGATAAAGCTGTAATGGAATGCAAGAAGCTGTCTTATAGAGCCAGGTCATTGGTTCTTCTGGCTCAGTATTACCAACTGTCCTGATACCCCCTGTCCTGATATAATTCATTGCCCTATTCCCTGTTCTGATATATTACATTGCCCTATCACCCAGTGATTTTACATTTTTAATCTTTGAAACTGGCCCTGCCCATTGTGATCATTTTAGTGTTTAATGTTCTGAGTTTATATTGTTGCACCATTTATTTATATTGGTTCTGTATTTTATGTTATTGTACTTTTAATTTTGTTGTGTTTTTGTGTAATACTGTGTTTTGTACTGATGGGAATGGCCTTATGTAAGCCGCCCCGAGTCCCCTTGGGGAGATGGTGGTGGGGTATAAATAAAGTTTAATAACAATAACAACAACAATAATAATAAAATAACAACAACAACAACAACAACTTACTAGAATGGCTCTCTGGGATTCTCTGGTGGTCTCCCATCCAAGTATTTCCATCCATGAATCAGATTAGGTTCAATGTGTTGCTCACAGTACACATTTATTTATTGGGTATTTATTGCCTTAGGGAGCCCATCATGCAAAGAAGTACACAAGGAATGAGCATTCATGTAACTTTAAAAAGAGGGAAAGAACGTATTGCTTTGAATTTGCAGCAACAATTTATTTAACCGCATAAGAAGTCATAAATGTGATTTTTTTTTTACAGGATGCAGAATATCTATATTTCCGAAACCCTCATCTTATTTCTCTGCGTAGAGCATTGATCATGCATCTAAAGAACAACACTGAAATACCAATACATACAGAATTTCCTAACTGCTTAGAAGACAGCTGGCAGAGTTTTCTGGAAGAGAATTATCCTTATTTCTTAATAATTTCAGATGAAGGGATGGATCAATTGCAGACCAATTTTTTCCATATATTCATCATCCAAACTTTGTCAAATGAAGTCAATGTTGTGCTTACTTCAGGACAAGAATCAGATGGTATCAGAGTTTTTGGGTACCTTATCCATAGTGTATCCCGCCACCATAGCTTTTTTCAGAAGGTGATTACTGACATAGAAAAAAACCCTCCTAAATTAAAGAAAGTGGTTAACAAACTCCAAAAGGCTTAGAAACAATCACAAGAGGTGTGGTCACAAGCTATTATTTTTATGAGTAGAGAAATCAAATAACACATTTTCTGTAGCTGTGGTTTCTGTTTCTTTTTTCTTTTAGATAGGCCTAAAGCAAATGCCATGAGGGAAGTGTACCTCAAATGACACTAATACAAATGTACTTGGTGGTATTTTGCTAAAACATGTTGATCTTCTTTCCATCCCTAGTGCTGAATAATATCATGTATTAGAGAGTAAAAAACTGCAACATTTATAAAATGTTTTGGCAATATTCTATGTAGAAGCAAGAATGAACATTAACCACTGGGATGTGTCCATGATAGTTAACAGTGGCAAATATCTCCCTAAATACTCTTTTTACATAGTGATACTACCCTAGATTTTTTTTTAATTTTTTACATGTTTCCCCCCACCACAGATCTTAAAGTAGATTATGTAGCATTACTTCAGGCAGTGTTTCTTTTAGGAAATCTCCCATTCATGCACTGACAAGACCCAGATTTGCTTAGCCTAGATCTAAACTGTTGTATAACACAGTTTGAAACTGATCAGTGTAGATGTATACAAAGGTTGAATGAAAAGTACTTCGTTACTTGGGTTTGGATGGGAATATTTTAATAAATCAAACTCAGAAATAATCCTTAGAATGTGCTCTTTAAATACCACTATTCACTTTTCCACATAATCACCAGACAATTGGATACATTTCTGCCAACAATGAACAAGTTTTCTGAAGCCGTCACGGAAGAAGTTGACATTCTGTTTCCACAACCAGCATCTCACAGTTCTCTCAACATCTTTCATTATTGGGAACAGATGGAAGTCAGACGATGCTAAATCTGGACCGTATGGGGGATGCCGTATGGTGGTGAGATCCAGTCTCTGAAGTTCTGCTGTGGTGGCATGTGAAGTGTGTGGTCTGGCATTGTCATGCTGCAGAAAAACACTTCTCTTTTCCTTTCAGACCCTTGTTAGCCGTCGTTTCAAAGTTCGCAGCATTGTGATGTAATGCTCTGAATTTATTGTTGTTCCACGTTCAAGGAAATCGACATGGATAACACCATCTTCATCCCAGAATACTGTTGCCATGATTTTTCCAGCTGATGGCTGTGTCTTGAATTTCTTTTTCTGGGGCGAGTCTTTGTGTGGATATTCCATAGACTGACGCTTTGTATCTGGGTTGTAATGGTGTATCCACGTTTCGTCTCCTGTCACAATTGCATAGAGAAAGGCATCACCTTCATACTCATAATGCAAGAAGAGTTCCTGGCAAATTTCAAGTATGTGCGCTTTCATTTCAGCGGTCAGCATCCTGGGTAGCCATTGTGCACAGATCTTCCAATATCCAAGCAAAGCAACACGTTCTTGTGAAATGCCGATTATGCTTGAAATTTCTCTCTGAGTGATACAACTATCGTCCTGAATCAATCTGTCAAGCTTTTGCTTGTGAAACTCAGTGGTTGCTGTCACAGGACGTCCAACTCTTTGTTTGTCACGCAAGTCAGATGTTCCCACCTCAACATCTTTAAACTTACCCAATGACACACAGTACTCACGTCAACACAATCACCATAATCAGCTTGCATTCTCTGATGAATCTCCTTTGGGATCACACCTTCTGCTGTCAAGAATTCAATGATGGCACATTGCTTAAGTCACATTGACTGACCGTCTGTGCAAGGTTCCATACTTTGCACTTTAACAACACAACTGTTCAATACTAAGTCTTTCCACCAAAATGGAACTGTAGAGGAGAATCTACGGAACACGACAGTACCTGCCGCATACCAGTACTGCCATCTGTTGAGGAGTTACGAAGGCGGAGGCATTACTTTTCATTCAACCCTTGTATAATGTAGGCAGATTTTAGCTACTCAAAAATTCTAAATATTATAGCCTCTCAGAAATTTTTGAAAAATAAAGATGGTTACACAGGTTCTTTCATACAGTCATAAGGTTATTATGTACTTGGGGTTCCCAGTCACGCAGAATACAGGGAGAAGCTTTTGAGAAGTCAAGGAAAGAACTGAGTATTAGGACATAGAACTGGGCCCATTTGCCTGTGAATAGGGCTCGGGTGAAAAATATCTTGGGGGGGTGGGGGGAGTTAGAGAAGGTATAGAAATATTAACTTGCTGTTTCATGAAACATGATTTGCCTATGTTTTCTTTTCTTTTCTTTCCTTTCTTTCTTTCTTTATTTTTAGCACAAAGCAACATTAAAGCATTACTACAAAGCACTGATTGAGAACCTGAAACAATGTAGTGCAAAAGAATATCTCTTTGTTGATGGCTGCCCAAATCTGGAAGTTTTGATAGCAAAGGTAATATGTACTTTCAAACATTAACTAAGGCTGGATCTACATTGCCCTCTAATACAATGTCAGAATGTGGTTTAACTGCATTGATCTGGATTATAGGGCAGTGTACACTAATATAATCCAGTTCAATGCAATTAATCCACATTCTGAAACTGTATTATAGGGCAGTGTAGATCCAGCCTAAGTAGTACTCTCTCTGTTGCTGTTACCTACGGCTTTCATCCAATATTTCTAAAAAGTTCAGAAAATATAGTGTGTCCAGCAGAGGTTTTAAATAAATATGCCCCTGTTATCATACAAAACTGCAATTCAAAATATCTTTGGAAGAAAGAGGTGTGAGGAAGATGCCAGGTGGAAGAAATAATTGTTTTTAAAAAAATTAGAAGAAAGAAAAAGAAAGAAAGACAGCTTCTTTTTCACTGTATGCATTTCATTTTACATAAGCAGAGAGTCAGAACAGTCGGAAATGCTGCAGATACAGATGTTTATTATGGTGATGTTTTCAGTTCCAAAGGGACAAGCAAAACATTACAAAAATGTCCCCATGTCCCATTTGTTATGATAGAAAAGGGAGCTATAAATAGAATGATATGATGAATGAATTTGAAACTCTCTCTCTCTCTCTCTCTCTCTCTCTCTCTCTCTCTCTGTCTCTGTGAACACCTTCAAAGGGAAAAGGAACCTATATCCTGGGACACAGCTAGTGGGGTGTAGTGGTTTGAGTGTTGAATTGCAACTCCAGAGACCAGGTTTTAATTTCCTGTTTGAGCATGGACTCGGTGATCTTGGGCAAGCCACACACTCTCAACTCCAGAAAACCCCATGATAGGTTCACCTTATGACTCACCTTAAATCATAAGATGGAAAAACACACAACAGTACACAACAGGAACAACATAAACAACAGATGTCCTTGGACATTTATTTAATTTAGGTATATTGTATTATGTCTACTGAAAGGGCAGAAACATGACAGTTCTCGGTAAAATTTACTTGTGAACATAGCTAATCTATATGCTTATTAATATATAGCTAAAACCATAAGGATAACATAGAATAGAGCTAGCACATACACAATAGAACTCATATAAGTTTTAAGTGTAGTACACCCAAGAAGCTTGATCTTTAAGAATTGATTATCTGCTTTGAACTGAATCATGTTACTCTCTCCCCCCCCCCCCTCCCCCAATCTCTCCATATTTTAAATGTCAGCTTCATAACAAATTCAGCCAATTCAAGAAAGACGTGGAAGATCTTCGGTATATTGTCTGCATTATCATTTGCGCACTCATCCTGGAAATGCATGTTCAGGTACTACAAAGTAAAGCTACAAACCAGGCAGGCATTTGTTGAGTACAAAAATAAATAACAGTTTGGTTTTATATCAGGTACACATTATTATATAGTTATGTGTCAGAGCTATCTTAAGGTTTATTCATACTGCAGAATTAATGCTGTCTGGCACCATATTAACAGCCATGGCTCAGTGCTGTGTAATCCTGAGAGCTGTAGTTTTATGAGGCACTAGCAGGCTTTGGGAGAGAAAACTAAAGAGCATGTAAAATTACAGTGTAGATGCTATCCAACTTTCATATAATCCAGTTTTCGAATCCAGATTATCTGCTTTGAACTGAATTATTTGAGTCTGCACTGCCATATAATCCAGTTCAGTGGCAATGGCAGCGACCTGGCAGATGTGCCCCTGTTTTCCTGTGCTGTTGAGCTCATGGAAAAATGTCAGCAGTGGTGCTGAATGGGCAAAGGACTGATCTGAATTGAACCCAATGTAGCTGTCCTCACTCCCTTGAAGCTACAGGATACTCTGGGATTTCAAGCAAACTTGAACATCCCTTAACTTTTACTCAAACAGTAAAAGCCAAAGTGGAGGAATGTTGTGAAGATAGTCAAGAGATATCAATACCCATTGATGAGTCCTGAAACTTAAAACTTGTTAGGCTAGTATCTACAGCCATCGGGACTCAGTGATGGTGGCATTAAAGTTATCCATGTAGTTGAACTAGTTCATATCCTCCGTGATTCTGTTCTACACAAGTATTTTCACTAGCTCTAGAGCAGAGTTTCTCAAACTTTGCTCCTCCAGATGTTGTGGACTTGAGTTCTCACAATTCCCAACAGCTGGTAAGATGTCTGGGATTTCTGGGAGGTCTAAAACATCTGGAGGAGTACAGTTTGAGAAACACTGGTCTAGAGAAATAGGTACGGACTTTTAATTCTATGAATGAGTGAACACTCAGCAGCTTCAAGCACAATTGGATCTAGTTTCCAAAATGTTTAGAAGTTTCAGTCTTTTCAAGCTTGTTATCTCCTGCTTAATTACTTTATTATAAGCTATTGTATAAGCTCAGAAACAAGTATCTTCAAAATGTAACATTCCCCGCCTTTGGGAATCCAACCCTGAGGATATTTTCTAAGAGACTTCCTGGTATAATGGGCATGAAGTGAAGCCCATTTTACTTTTTTCTCTGTGAAAGAATGAGGGTGGGATATAAAACAAAGTAAGTAAGTGAGTAAGTAAGTAAATACATAAAACATACAAATTTGAAATAGTTGAGATATATGGTTTCAAGGTTGTTCATTGTGGTTTGATCCCCAAATACCTGCAAATAAAAATATTGGAGTTTTGGAAGGCACTATGCATTAAAGAAGAGGTAGAGACCTTGTGGCTCTCCAGCTGTCATTGAATGATATTTTCTATCTGCTATAGCTAGCATAGATGGTAGAGAGCACTAAGTGGGGTTCTAGTCTAAAGTATATGGGGAACACACAATTCTTATCCTTGCAGTTTTTACTTCGTGTGTCTGTATGTGCAAAATGAAAGAAATGAAAATTGGGAAACCAAGTGAAGTCTGCTTTCAAAATGTAAATTGTTCTTTCTTTTTGTTTGTTTCTTTGATTGAGCAAAGAAGTATATGAAAACAGCATTAACACTGCATGAAATTGAAGATCTAATGAGGATGTATTGCCTCAGTGTTGTTTTTCTACACCATTTGCCCCTTGAGCAGCGAGCTCGGGTTAGATTTATTGATGTCTACTGGAAGAAGGAAACTTTAAGATTTATACAGCAGGTAGCTATTGCAAAAATACATATACTATGTAACTATATCACATTTAGGTTTCTTTTCAAGCAGCGATTTTATGATCATTTCTGTGCACCTAGCATGCTCTTTTGGCAATTCAGGTAATTTTAAGATATGTTGAATTCATGAGGAAATATTCACAAAGTGCTGGAGGTGGGGAAGACAGATGTTGTGACAAATCCTTCCTATAGAGCAGATTCCTAACTCTGACATTGGCAAGTCCCTAAGTCCCATAGTGTTTGTTTTTTTTGGGACTTAATTTTAATTTAAGCCCCAAAAATTGGGGTTTAATTTTAAATTAAACATAAATTGAATGATACCTTTGCATCTCCCCAACGCTGGAGAGACAGAGACTCTGGAGACTAAGGTTCAAATCCCTCCTTTGCTATGGAACTTCACTATGTGATCTTGGGCAAGTCATACTCTTTCAATTTCAGAAGAGGCAATAGCAGCCCTCTTCTGAACAAATCTTACAAAAAATAGCCCACAATAGCCTTAATCCCAATCTTTATTGACCATTCAATGCAGCTTCAAGCTGACTCACAACTGTGGCAGTCACAAAACACAGACTGCAAATGCATGTAGCAATGAGGATTAAAGGGTATACAGTCATTAAAGATAGTTGCAGGAAAGTCCAAGTTATGCCCTTTAATGCAATGAAACAGATCCCAATTTATCTCAGGTCCCTGGGAAAATTTGGCTGCATTGTAGACACATATCCTTGCTGATATGCTTTGTAGAATTCCAAACAATGCAAGGGGGCGGCCAAAAAAGCATGACTGGCTAGCAGGGGGCTAATTGACTCCCAGCAAGGTGTAATTGATTGTCTCCACTCCTGTCACTTTCCCCCTTTTGCCCACCTCCTATGCTTCTGAAGCGCTGAGGTGCATGTTTCCTGAAAATGGAAAAAAGTACACAGAGCAGATTGACGCCAGGTTCCTTGATTAATATAATCACCTTTCTGGCCACAAACCATTTCGAGTCATGTCAGTTTATAATCACCTCCACAGTAAAACCAGTTCCTTCCAAACTCGTTCCAAGCTGCATTATAGTGTCAGTGTAGATGTGCCCTTAGTGTTGCCATAAGTCAGAAAAAACTTGAGGGTACATAAACAACAATCCCTCCAATATGGTGGTGGTATCATGATGAAATGGCTGCAAGTGAAAACTTGTTGCTGCAGGGCCCCAGGAATCTTAGATTTGATTAGGCTGGAACTGCTAATAAATTTTAGAACTTGGAAAAATTACTAATTTTAATTACAGTTCCTAGAATTCTCAGCTATCATGGGCATTGACCATGCTGACTGGGGGATTCTGGGTTGTAGTTCAAAAAAGTTAGTTCTCAAGCTCTTGTCTTAACTCTATCAACAAATAAGACATTATTAGAAAGAGCCGTAATAATCATGACTTATTGTTTAAATTGCTTGGACAGTTATAACTATAAACATGAATTTAGACTATTTAGAAAAGAAAAGGAAAACAACAACAACTGGGTACAAGCATCCTAACTCTTAACTTATGCAGGGAAAATTTCATCGTATAATATTCACATTCCTCCCATCATTTTTGGAAGAAAAAAGGGGGTACAACTATTACGCAATGGCAACTATTGTACGGTGAAAAAAACCCATTTGTCGGGTGTTTTTGCTGGTTAATACATGTCCCTGTAAGGGTACAGCCATGCAGAAAGATAATGCTTTATTTGCTTGCATAGCTGCACCCTCAAAGGAAGCACATACACAGGCGACTGTGCCTTCAAATGGCACAGCCACCTCATCCACCCGCTTGGCTGCACCCTTGCCAAAAGGGAATGAGGGCTGGTGGGTGGTATGTAGTGAATTCACTCTCCCCCTGCTTAGCTTCTTCCCCTTTTGGTGTTATGGGGCTTGACTTGGCTGGGACCTGAATCAAGCCCCAAGGCACCAAAATGGCAATCGCACTCTTAGTTCATTCGCTCAGGTGAGTGAACTAAGGATGCATTATTATGCAGGGAATGGCAAATCTCCATTTTTGCCCTAATGGAGGGTGTGGCTATTATGCGATTACAATTATTATGTGATGAAATATGGTATGTTTCCTTTCATTTTTATATTAGTACTAGCAGTCCCCTGCCACACATTGCTGTGGCCCACATGGGGGTTCTGTGTGAGAGGTTTGGCCCAATTCTATCACTGGTGGAGTTAAGAATGCTCTGTGATTGTAGGTGAACTATAAATCCCAGCAACTACAACTCCCAAATGTCAAGATTATATTTTCCCCAAACTCCACCAGTGTTCACATTTGGGCATATTGAGTATTTGTGTAGAGTTTGGTCCAGATCCATGATTGCTTGAGTCCACAGTGATGCCTGGATGTAGGTGAACTACAACTTCAAAACTCAAGGTCAATCCCCACCAAACCCTTCCAGTATTTTCTGTTGGTCATGGGAGAACTGTGTGCCAAGTTTGGTTCAATTCCATCGTGGGTGGGGTTCAGAATGCTCTTTGATTGTAGGTGAACTATAAATCCCAGCAACTACAATTCCCAATGACAAAATCATTTTTTTTGAGTGAAGGACATACATTGGGTTGTTAGGTGCCTTATGTCCAAATTTGGTGTCAATTCATCCATTGGTTTTTGAGTTCTGTTAATCCCACAAACAAACATTACATTTTTATTTATATAGATACTTCACTATATAGATAACTGAGGATTCCTGCATTAGATATTCTATTGATATTTTCCTTCTTTTTCCTTTAGCATAAACTGTGTGAATTTCACGTTCTGGAACATCTTGCCACTCAGACTTCGAGGAAAATCGATTTTTCTACCTTGCCCGATTTAAGTGATGATATTTTGTGGAAGAATATTGCTTTCTATTATGAAGTAGAAAAAAGCTCAGGTACATTATTTATAAAGGAGCCCCTGGTGGCACAGTGGGTTAAACCACTGAGCTGCTGAACTTACTGACCGGAAGGTTGGAAGTTTGAATCTGAGTGGGGTGAGCTCCCACTGTTAGGCCCAGTTTCTGCCAACCTAGCAGTTTGAAAAGCTTTGGCAGAAAGGTAACAGCACTCCATGCTATCATGCCGGCCACATGACCTTGGAGGTGTCTATGGACAATGCTGGCTCTTCAGTTTAGAAATTGAGACGAGCACCTCCCCCCCCCCCCCAAAGTTGGACACAACAAGACCTAATGTTAAGGGAAAACCTAAAAAAAATTCATGTTAATTAATTTATTTTATTTATCGTGTCATCTGCAACCAGAACATTGTATTACATTTCTAACAGAACAAAACAAAAACAAAAAAATCCACACAAATTTTGCAAACTTGGTAGCTGATTAAATGTCCTTTAACCAGTATCTGGCCACTTGGAGTGCCTCTGGTGTTGCCGCAAGAAGGCCCTCCATCGTGCATGTGGCAGGGCTCAGGTTGCATTGTAGCAACCTGATTAATGTTAGTTCATTAATTAATGTTAATTCATTAATTACAACTTAGACCCAGAATTTTCATGATGTGTTTTTCATGGAGTATTATATTAGGTGCAAAGATTAATAATTAGATATAATGATATGAGTCTCTTCCCTCTAGAAGAAGGTATGTGTATGGGAGAGCGTATATACACTGACCTAAAAATCTGGGGCCAATCTGGCATGGAATATACTGAATTGTCCCAAATATTGATCACACACGGAGACTCCCAGTTGACGTGGAGCCAGGAAGGAATCTTGACAGCCCACCCTAAGTGTTCCTTCCCACCCTCCATATTGTAGCAATCTCCACCACTATCTGGGTTTGACTTGTTTGCTGTTATCTGAAGTGATGTTGCTCATTTTCATGGTTTCCTCCTTACTGTTGAAATTATCCACAATTTAATGGCTTCTTTGTGTAGTCTGTGTAATCTGGCTACTAGTATCAAAAAACTCTAAAATCAAGTAAAGAACAACACTCAGATAATGGGAATTCCAGACATGAAACAATTAGGGCCAGCTATTATTTCCCAGCAAAGGATTTCCCCAGGCAGCAACCAGCCAGGCTTTGAAGCTGCAAGGCCATTCAATGCTAATCAAGGTGTCCAATTGCAACATTCACAGTTGCCTCAAGTGGACAAGAGTTCTTTCTCCCACCCTGAACATTCCACAGATATATAAAACCCCACTTGCCTAGTTTCCAACAGACCTCACAACCTCTGAGGATACCTGCCATAGATATGGGTGAAACATTAGGAGAGAATGCTTCTGGAACATGGCCATACAGCCTGGAAAACTCACAGCAACCCAAATATCATAACCACCACAACCACCACCATCTAATAACATCTTTGATTGCAATATATAGTCATATGCTTTTACTGAGTAATTTTCCAAAAAAATGTTACAAGTGGTATGGTGTATGTTGACTTTGGTGCCAGATTACCCAATCTGAATACTGGACATCTGGACAACCATGTCCATGAATAACCTGGTGCCTTTAGTTCACTGATGTTTTCACTCTTGAAGATAAATAGAAAAGGGGAAAGTTTTCCCTGCACTTTTCTAATAGTCTTTCAATTGTTATAAAAGCTCTAAATTCCCAGACAAGAATCTCAACTGAACGTATGGATTGAATATCTTTCTGTAACAGCTGTGTGCTTTAAGTTTCCAAGAATAGATTGTGTTCAGCATTATTTCTTAAAAGATACAGTTGGGTCAACATTTATTCCGAATGTTAATGTTCACACCATCTTTTTCATAGGATTTGATATGGATTTAGGAACAATAATTAATAAAGACTACGAACTTCTATGGAATCATATCATAGCATTATCTGAGTCACATGATATTGGATCATCATTTCCACTGAGGATAACTTCATTCTGTTTTCTTGAAAAGGAATGTTCATCTAGTAAAAAAGGTAACAAGTTCCAGGTATTATTTTGTACTATTTTAGATGTAGCATTTTTATTGATAATATATTGATTTTGATGATACCATTTATTGTATTAATGCACGAATTATTATTAAAATAATACCCTGTTTACAATTTATTCTCTTGGGTTAATTAGAAGTAACCTCTATTTGCTCCATGGAGATCGGCTGCATGCCTCTCAATGCTTGAAAAGAGGCTCAAGTATCCTAAGAGGGGGAAATTTCTCAGTGTGATGAGGTTGATTGCCAGAGTCCCCTCCTTTCAGGACACTTCTGCCTCTTTTCTTTTTAAATATATTTTATTTAGTTTTCAAATAACATTAAAAGAGGGGGAACATATGTTTGGTATAGGAAAGTAGGAAAGTATAAAGCAGGGGTCTAGGACATAAATATAAAAGATAAGAGAGAAAAAAAGAAAGAAAAAGAAGAAGAAGAAAAGGGGGGAAGGGGGGGGGGAGACACCTCCCTCCCCAAAACTTGGGGTTGGGGTTGGGATGGGTTGTTGGTTGACTTCCAATCTTCTTCACCTTGGATAAATCCTTTATCTTTTATCTCTCCTAGTATTAGACAAGCTTCTTTCCATAGTCTCTCTTAAGAGCAGTTCTTGTTTAACTTTATCTTGTATCTATTATCCATTTCAGGATTTCTTGTGTCATGAAATTCTTTATTGGTGTCCAATCTGTCTTGGGCATTTTAATATTCTGCTTTATGTTCACCCGTTGGGCTAGTTTGTCCATATTCATGATATCTAAAATTTCCCATTAACCAGTCTTCTTGAGATGGTGTTTCTTTTGTTCTCCATAATCTAGCATAATTAATTCTGGCTGCCATCACTAGATAATTAAAGAGTTTGTCCTTATTTAGATCCATTTCAAAGTCTATTATTCCTAAGAGAAAATATTCTGGGTTTAATTCCAATATTTTTTGTGAATGTTTTTCCAATATGATCTGGCAATTTTGCAGGTCCACCACATATGATAGAAGGAGCATGTTTGTTCTTCACATTTCCAACATTTATCATTTGTGTTTGGGTAACATTTAGCCAGTTTCTGAGGAGTGATGTACCATCTGTATATCATTTTAAACCAGTTTTCTTTTAAGTCAAATGCATATGTATATTTCATTTTTTGTTCCACATTTTCTCCCAGTCTTCTAGTTGTATTGTATGTCCAATATTTGCTGACCATTTAACCATACATTCTTTAATTAACTCCATTTCTGTAGCCCATTCTAATAACTTCTTATATATTTTTGTTGTTGTTTTGTTTTCTGAAATCAGTATCATGTCCCAAAAGGTTTCTTTATCCATAAATCCTCGTTTTTTATCTTTCACATAATATTCTCTAATTTGGCTATATTGGAACCAGGATATTCCTTCATCTAGGATCCCTAGTTCCTCTTGTGTTTTCATTATGTACTCCTTATCTTATTCTTTCAAGATGTCTTTGTATGTTAACCAGTTTTCTTGTGCAGTCTCTCTTCTTTGGTCTGCTTCTTGTGGAGATATCCATTTTGGTGTTTTAGTATAAAATCTTTCTTTGTACTTTTCCCAAATTTTTATGAGTGCTGATCTGATAAAGTGATTTCCAAAGTTTTTCTCTGTTTTTTTTTATTATTATACCATAAATAGGCATGCTATCCAGCTCTTAGGTCAAATCCTTCTAGATTTAGTATTTTACTTTTCTTAAGGGAGGCCCTTTCATCCATGTCAAGCCCACTGCTTCATAGTAGATTCTTAAATCTGGTAATCCAAATCCTCCCCTTTTCTTGTCATCTGTTAGGTTCGTCAACTGTATTCTTGGTTTTTTCCCCATCCAGATAAATTTTGTCAGATCTTTATTCCATGATTTGATAGTTTCTGATTATCGGCAAATTTTGGAATAGATGTAACATTTTGGGTAAGATATTAATCTTTATAGCCACAATTCTTCCTAATAAAGATAGATTTAAATATCTCCGGTTTTCTAAGTCTTTTTTAATCTCTTTCCATTAGGTTTCATAATTGTTTTTCAAAAGTTGCAAGTTCTTGGGTGTCAAAATAATGCTTAGGTATTTGACTTTTTCCGTGATTTGAATTCCAGTTTTTTATTGAAGTTCAACTTGATGCTTTTGTCTTTAATTTATTTATTTTTAGGCTCGACACTTTACCATATTCTTCAGTTGTCTCTAACCAGTCCTCTATATTTTCCCTTGGATTTTCCACTATACAGACCATGTCATCTGCAAATGCTTTTATCTTATGGGTATCCTTCTTTATTTTTGTTCCCTTTAGTTTGTTGTTTTCTCTTATGTTGCTTAATAACATCTCCAAAGTCATGATGAAAACTAGAGGTGATAAGGGACAACCTTGTCTTGTTCCTTTTTGTATTCTAATTTTCTTATCTTCTTGTCCATTTATATGTATTGTTGCTTCTTGCTTTGTGTAGATGGCTTGTATTGCATTAATGAAATGGTACCCAGCATCCATTTCTTTTAATAAAAATATGATGAAGTTCCAATTTACACTATCAAAAGTGTTTTCAGCATCTATGAACATCAATGCTAGTTCTTTGTGATTATTAGCTTCATAATATTCCAGTATGTCAAATACCGTTCTAACATAATCACTGATATTTCTTTGAGGTAGGAAACCTGTTTGATTTTCTTTTATCCAGTCTTTAAGATACGATTTTAATCTTTCCGCCAGAATATTTGTAAATATTTTACAATCCAGATTCAATAGAGAAATAGGTCTTCCGGATTTGTGTTCTCTTTATGGATCATTGTTATGTTGACTTGTTTCCATGTGTCTGGTATTTTCTTTTGTATAAGAGCTTCATTCATTATTCTTTTCAAATAGGGTCTTAGTTCCTCCTTAAAACTTTATAATTAGTTGCTGTGAAGCCATCCGGGCCTGAAGCTTTACTGACATCTAGTTTATTTATGGCTGCATTTACTTCTTGGTCGGTTATTTCCTTATTCAGATTTTCTCTTTGTTGTTCTGTTAACTTTGTTAATTTCTGTTTTCCCAGATATTGAATTATATCTTCCTTTCTTATGTGATCCTCTGAGTAGAGTTTCTTGTAAAATTTATTGAACTGTTGTAGTATTTCTTTGTCATTTGAATAAGTTTTCCCTCCCAAAGTAATGTTGGTTATGTGTTGTTTCTGTCTTTTTTCCTTATTTTTTTGGCTAGCCAATTCCCACATTTATTTGCATTTTGGAAATATTGTTGTTTTGCAAATTTCAATTTCTTTGAAAGTTGTTCCATTTCTAAGTATTCCCTTTGTTTTTGGAGGCTTTCCAGTTGGTTCCTCAGTTCCTTCCTTTGAGGATTTTTCTTCAGTTCTTTCTCAATTTCCGTAATTGTGGTCATTATTTGTAATGATTCTCTATTTCTTTCTTTGTTTTTTCTTGCATTTTGTTGGATTAAGTGGCCCTGCATCACAGCTTTGCTTGCTTCCCAGATTATTTGGAAGGAAATATCTTCAGTTGTGTTTAATTCAAAAAAATTCTCATATAATCTCTTTATTTCTTTGTATGTCTTCTTCCATTCTCAACCAATCTGTATTTAACCTCCATTTTCTCTTAAATTCCCCAGTGTCCCATTTGAATTCTAAGGGACAATGATCAGAATTTGTTCTTGGTAAAATTTTTATCTTTTGGATCTTAGTTGAAATAACATTTGTTGTTCAAATCATATCGATTCTTGACCAAGTTTAATGGTGATCCGAATAGAAGGTAAAGTCTCTCTCTCTCGGGTTTCTACTTCTCCACACATCTTGTAAATTGAATTCCTCCTTCAGATTTTTGGTTATTCCCTGGCCTTTTTGTCTTTATTATGTTGTGTCAAAATGTTTCTGTCTAATTTGTTGTCTAGTACTCCGTTAGAGTCCACATAATAATTAGCTCCACAAACTCTTGTTTAAGTATCTGCTCTTTAAGATTCTTGACAAATTTTGTTTCTGTCCCATTTGGGGCATAGATGCTACAAAGTAAGATCTTCTGATTATTCAGGGTAATTAGAACTCCAATATATCTTCCTTCATGATCTTTAAATGCTTTCTCTGCAGGGATTTTTGGGTCTATATATATTATCACTCCTCTTTTTTTATTAGCTAACACATAAAACTCCTTTTCTAAATCTTTTTGGATGAGATGGGAGGCATGTTTTGTTTTATATGGGTTTCTTGTAGACCATTTATTGTACATTTTCCTTTTCTGATTTGGTTGAAATTTTTTCTCCTTTTTGTTGGGGAGTTTAAGCCATTCACGTTGTTCACAAAGCATTTGATCTCCATCTTAATTTTCCTCTTCTTGGTCTGGTTCTACTTCTGATTCTTGTTTCTCTTCTTCTCCTTCTGTTTGTGGTTCCAGTGTCATTGTTGCCAGTCCAAAATGCATCTCATGGTCTTCAGGGGATTGTTCTCTTAGTCTCTTACTACTTGGTTTTGTGTGAAATCCTTCTTCTTTTGATGGTTTTTGTTTTCCAGATTCGGCACTTTTATCTTTCTTTTGGTCCTTTGTCAGTTTTTTGTAGAACTCTCTAGCTTTCTCTCCTGAGGTTATCCAGTGTCTTACTTCATTGTATGTGAGCATGAGGCCTTCTATTCTTTCCTAGCGGAATCTTATATTTATTCTCTTGAGTTCTTCCACAAGAAAAGTATATTTCCTTCTTTTAATTAGGGTTGATTGTGGGAATTCTTTTAATACAGCCACTTTAGATTGATTGAGGTATATTGGATTTTTTGCATTATTCTTCAAAATTTCATCTCGTACCTTTCTTCTTCCAAATTGGACTATAACTATAACATCTCTTGAGACTTTGTTTCTTCTTGCATAATTAATATTTATTCTGTAAACTCTGTCAATATTTTCTTCCACTTGTTCTTGAGGGATCTTAAGAAGATTTGCTGTTAAATTGACGACGATTTGTTGGATATTTTCTTTGGAGTCTTCTTGTAAATTTCTAAATCTTAATTGGAATTCTAGTTCACGTTGTTCCAGCATTTATTGTCTTTTTTCGAGCCTTGAGTCAACTTCTTCTAGTATTACAACTTTATTCTTATTTTTTTTCTGTTTTTTTCTGTTTTCTTAGATTCTTGTTTTAGTTGTTTTAATTCATCTTTAAAGGTTATCATCTCTTTTTTCATGATGTCCACTTCTTCTTTTATATCTTTTTGAAGGCTTGTTATTTGTTCATTGAATTATTGTTGAAGTGAATCTTGCTTGGATGATAGTTTTTGTATCTCTGCCATTATATCTTTTATATCTATCTCTCCTGGAGTAGAGCCTCTTCTAGGAAGGGGTGGTTTCTTCTCTTTCTCGTTCTCCATCTTAGCTTTTGGTGTTGTCATAGTACACACTCAATTTATTTGTATCAGCTTTTAAAAAATCAATATCAGTATATATCTCAATTGGAATTAATTTCTTAATTTTATCTTAATATTGTAATTATTTGATACAGTCTGATATAAGTTTTTAGATTATTCTTAGTTCTATTAATTGATAATATATATCTGTTAATGAGCTGATCAAATGTATTATAATCAAATTGATTTTAATAGCTTCTCACTTTAATCACTTTAATTATTGAAATTCATTAATATTCTTTTTGAGATTTCATCAATTAAATCAATCCAGTCTCCTTCAATTGGTTACTTTCACAGTACATCTTTGCTGGGTCTTCTCTTTGTAAATTGTTTCTTCTTCTTCCCTTCCCTTCTCCTCTTTTCAACCATGGAAAGGTATGCATGACTGCCAGAAGTAGTTTATCTCATGTGATGAACTCAGTGCCTCTCCATGTTTGAATAGAAACTGAAGTGTCCTACAACTGGGAAATGTATCAATGTGGTGAGGTGATTAATGTTCAATTCTGTGCTTTGCAGGTATATATTAAATTAAAAATGTCTTTTCTGCTAATAAACATTTTATGTATGGATACATGGATGAGCTTGTCAGAAGGAACTATTCACTATGTAAAAATTAAAACGTGTCAGAAGACTTTAAAATTAATTAATAACTGCTTTGTTTTTGATACAGGTATTGCACCCAAGATGACACTTATTAAACTAGGATTTATACCAATGAAGAATTCCATAGTGGATAAATTTGTTGGAGATCTTTTAACTGATTTGCCATTTTTGAAAAGGTATGTATCTTTTTCTCTCACACTCTTTTGAGACTACAAAAAGTGTCAGGTTATTATTCAAGATTGTTTCATTATGTCGGTAACACAGATTTTTTACTGAAATCCTATTGTCAAATTACAGTTCTCATTTGGACTAAGTTAAATTTTAATTCCTGTAAGTTACACTTTCATTTTCATTGAAAGTAGTGAAATGTCAGTTAAATCTCAGCTAATTAGCTTTTGAGACCTCATCTTGATTATCTTATTCTATATCCACCCTACACTTTTGTAAATACCTTAACAACGTAGTTTTGAAAAATACTGACTATAGGAGGATTTGACCTGAGAATGGTCAGTCATTCATATATCTGGTACGGGGAAAAGAAAAACAGAAAAAACTTTGGGAATCACTTTATTAGATCTTCATTGATAAAAAAATGGGGAAAGATACAAAGAGAGACTGCGAAAACACCTACATGTATATCACCACTTCAGGCAATTCAGAGGAGAGAATTAGGGTGGCAAAATTGGTCCATTTATAGGGACAGATAAATGTTGGAAATGTGAAAGGCAGACAGTCACATTCTTCTATTCATGGTGGACATCTGAATTTGCGAAAAAATATTGGAGAGAAATTCATGCGAAAATCCAGAAAATGTTAGAAATAAAATCAAATTGAAACCAAAGTATTTTCTTTTAGGAATGTTGGATCTAGCGAAAGAAAAAAAAGAACTATCTTGTCACTGCAGTAAGGATAGTTTATGCTAGGAATTGGAGATGTAAGGAAACACCCATGATCAAAGATTGGCTGATAAAAATAATGAAGATTTTGAATGTGGATAGATTTACCTACCTGACACAAGCACATAAAGGGCTACCAAAAACCCAAACAGATTGGCAATCAATTAAGGACTATTTAAAACAAGCTAAGATAAAAATAATAATATAAACTATAAACAACTTATAAGAAAATAGCTGTCCACAAGTACTTGCAGAGAGAAAGCAAAGAAGAAAAGGAAATTATTTCTCTTTTTATACTTAATAACTTATTTTTTGAGTAGACCACACCAAGAAGTAGATAGAAGTCAAAATACCCCAAGGTTCTTTTTTTCTTTATGTGTGTGTTTATTTTTATTTTTTTAAATTTACTTTATTTTATTTTCTCTTTTTCTTCTTTCCTCCCCCCCCCCTTTAATACACTGTATAAAATAATTCTATGTTATTAATAAAAAGGTGGTTTTTTTAAAAAAAAAATGTGGCTTTCTGGTGATGTTTCCATCACTGCAAAAATGTCTAAGCACTCTCTCCATCTCAACTGCCACTGCCCTGGCCGCAAAGGTAGAGAAGAGGTCAGCACAGATCTGTCATTACTACACCCAGAAGTAGATGTAAACCTTCCATTTATCCCACCTACCACTGTTGTGGCCTTGGAAGGAGAGAGGAATCCGCTGGACTTGATCCTCTTAAACATTGGTACCCTTTTTTTGTTTGTTTTGAGTCAGTTTTAATTAGAGGACAGGAAACTGATTTTTTTTACATGTACGGTTAAATAGAAGAAAAAGGTGATGATGAACACCTTGGCACAATTGTGTGAAGTTGTGGTTCTTTGGGGTAAGGGGTGCTCAAATTTTGTGTGTGTGAGAGGGAATAAAAAGCTTGCCATAATGGATGGGAGCTGAATTCAGCTATGTGCATTAAAACAGGGATAAATGACTAGGAGACCACACAACCTACTGCAAAGCCCCAGTTATTTGCCTATTTGCCTCCAAATGCCGCACAGTGCCCTCTAGGAATTGTAGGAAAATTAAAGCGTTTCTTTTTTTCTGAAAGAGGACTGCACATTTTCCACCCTGCTTTAGAGGTTTGTTTGTTTGTTTGTTTGTTTACTCTATTTGTACCCTACCCTTCTTATCCTGAAGGCGACTCAGAGTGGCTTAAAGGTAGGCAAAAATTTGATGCTGCATAAACAAACACACAAGTAAAATAATGGTAGGTTACATACCTGTGACCATCTTTCTTCGAGTGGTGCTCTGCGAATTCACACTTGTGGAGAGACTGCTGCGCGGGCTCCAACGGAAACTTCTACAGTTTAAACTTTTCAAGTTTTGGCAGTAACCCCGCCCAGCCCCGGCAGGGGATAAAAGGGCGCCCCGCGCATACCGACACAATTCCTACGCCGCTACGGCAGCGAGAAATTGGAGGTTTGACTGAGGGGAGGCTGGGCGGGTTAGTGTGAATTCGCAGAGCACCACTCGAAGAAAGATGGTCACAGGTATGTAACCTACCATTTTTCTTCGTGGTCTCTGCGAATGCACACTTGTGGAGACTAGCAAGCTCAGGTCCCGGAGGCGGGAAGAAGGCAAACCGACCAATAAAGTCAAGGGCCAAACAATTTTATTAAGTGCAAACAGTTACTGAACAAGAGATTGTAATCACTTCCTAACTTATGGGAGTACATGATCCTCCCGGCCACGTGAGGATGGCCAATTCACAGTGAAAGACACTCAACAAGTGAGGGCATTCTTGAACAATTACATAAACTTTTGACCCTTGGTAAACAAAAAACATACTCATTGTGGAACACACTCATTGCAATGAGGGCACTTTAAGTAGTTACAAAAACACTTTTGTCAATAGGTGCAAAAAACACATTTGCAAGGCAAAATGGTCGATAGCGAAACAAAGCACTACCCGTAATGAGCCCCACGAGGCTAGAGTGCAAGGTTGCCTGTGCCTCAGGCAAGAAAGGCATCAAGTATAGCAGGTGCAATTACATTCACCATCAACAGTAAACAGCTCTATTCGAGCAAACACATGGTAATAACATTCACAACAATATATGGTACCAAAGAGGTTCACGGTACCGACGCAACAAAAAGCTTGTGCAGAATTCTAAGGCAGACACGACTCCAGAATTGCCCTCCCAAAGGCCATGTCAGGTGTATACCTGGTATTCAGTCTGTAATGTGAAACAAATGTCTGAGGATTTTTCCAAATGGCCGCCTTACAAATAGCGTCCAGAGGAATCCCCTTAAGGAAGGCTGTCGATGCCGCCATCGCCCTGGTTGACCGAGCCCGGACAACCGAGGGAGGTTGTTGTCGAGCCAGCTGCTAACAAAGCTCGATAGCCGAGGTGATCCAGTGCGACAAACGCTGCACCGTAATCAGCAAGCCCACCTTACCATGGGCATATGCAATAAACAGTCGTTGAGTTCTCCGGGACTGAGCAGTTCTGTCCCTGTAACATAGCAATGCTCTCCGCACATCGAGCATATGGAGTCTTTTCTCCATCGGGGTCGAGGGAGATTGAAAAAACGAGGGAAGGACAATGTCTTCATTAACATGGAAAGGGGATACAACTTTAGGGAGGAATGTCACATCTGTGCGGAGAACTGCCCTGTCCTCATGGACAACAAAGTACGGTTCGTCCACTCGCAGTGCCGCAAGTTCCGACGGCCTACGGGCCGAGGTGATCGCGACCAGAAAGGCCACCTTCCATGAAAGAAGTCGGAGGTCGATCGACGTCAAAGGTTCGAAGGGCGCTTGTGCGAGCCGGGCCAGCACGAGGTCGAGGTCCCAACCGGGAGTTGGAGAGCGGACTGGGGGATGCAGGTTGTTGAATCCCCACAGGAAAGACTTCACGGAGTTATCCTTGAACAAGGAGGCTTCCCCTCTTCGTTGAAGCTGCCAAGAGATGGCCGCTAAGTGAGACTTGAGCGACGATAGCGACAAGCCCCGTTCGGTAAGGTGCAGTAAGAACAAGAGAATTGACGGTACCGAAGGCTGATGATCGTCTAGCCCTTTTTTGGAGAGGAAGGCCTGGAAGCGGTTGAGGCACGCCGAATAGCATTTCTTCTTCTTATTATTATTATTAACTTTATTTGTACCCCGCTAGCATCTCCCGGAGGACTCGATGCGGCTTACACAGGCCGAAGCCTCAAAACACAATACAATAAAACATAACACGACAGTAAAAACACAGCAAATCAATAGTTAAGCAAGCAACAACGACAATAACAATACAATAGTTGCTGGCTTATGAGCCGCGGCCAGGATCGGAAGAACTCCTGGACAGAGAGACCTCAGAACTGGATCCTCCACGCCGAAAGATGAAGAGAAGCGAGGTTGGGGTGGAGCAGCTGACCCCCTTCCCGGGAGAGTAGATCCTGCCAAAGTGGAAGGCGTCTCATCCGTCCCTTGGACAACTGGAGGAGGACTGAGAACCACGGTTGTCGTGGCCATTCCAGCGCTATTAGGATGCAGTTCGTTTGCGCTGATTGGATCCTCTCGATCACCTTCGGGATGAGCGGGAAGGGCGGGAAGAGGTAGAGCAGATGTCTCGGCCAATCTAGGAGGAATGCGTCTCTGAGACACCGTGGTACCGTGCTCGGAGCAAGCCGAGCACCGAACTGCGGGAGCTGAGCGTTTTGTGGCGATGCGAAGAGGTCTGCCGCCGGAAGGCCCCAATCTCTGAAGATCTTGGCCAGCTCGTCGGGATTCAACCTCCACTCGTGTGAGGTCGACTTGGTTCTGCTGAGTGCATCCGCCTCGACATTGGTCTCGCCCGGAAGGTGCAGAGCTGTTATCGACACCGACCTGGCTACACACCACTCCCATAGTTCCAATGACAGCTTGAGCAGTTTTCTCGAGCCCGTTCCGCCCTGCTTGTTCACATAGAACATTGCCACCATGTTGTCCGTAAGGATTTGGACAGACTTCCCGGTAACCAGAAGAGCGAATGCCCTTAGGGCTTTGAAGATCGCCAGCAATTCCAAGTAATTTATGTGGCATTGTCTTTCCTGCAGAGACCAGAGGGGCAAGAAGAGGGAGAGGAAGAAGAGGAGGAGGAAGAGGGGAGGAGGAGGAAGATAGAAAGAAGAGGAGGAGGGAATGAGGAGAGGAGGAGGAGGGAGGAGAAGAGGAAGAGAAGGAGGGGGAAGAGAAGGAAGAAGGGGGAAGGGAAGGGGGGAGGGGAGGAGGAAGAGAGGGAAAAAGAGAGGGGGGAGGGAAGGAAAAGAGAG